TCTATTTGTTTTCCTGAGAAACTATTTTGTAGACAATAATATGTAAAATGATAACCATTGATAATTTCCTACCATTTTGTCTGTAATTTGCTAAGTCCCCCCTATTATTATGTTATCCTTCTTTTATTCTAAAAAAAAAAAAAAAAAAAAAAAAAAACAAAGTCCTGCTCTGTTCACTCTGAACACTGACCAGCCCACACAAGGCTGAGGCTTGAGGACATTGCTCACAGGATTGCTCCATACCTATTCCCCTTGATTTTTGTGTCTTTTCAGGCTGCTTATCCCAGTCCTTTCTTCCCCACCCTCTGCTAGCTTTTTTTTTTTTTTTTTTTTTGCCTTAAACTCTATGGACAGTTGCCACAAGAGAATAGAATAATCAGACAAACACTTGGCCAAGATTTGACAAGCGTCCAAGGCACACTGGACGCTCTTCTAGATCAGATTAACTCCCTTACTACTTTGCCAGAGTAATGTTACAGAACAGGTAGGTTTAAATTATGTCTCTTCCTAAAAACGATTTAGGAAGAAACTCTGTGATGAGGCAATCTTGGGGAGACTGGCTAGGATCCATCCTAGGATCACTGACAACCCTAATGTTACTGCTTCTAGTTGGGCTTTGTCTCAGGATATCACAATATGCCCAGCAAAGATTTGCCAGTGAACTAAAAGGGGGAAGGAAATGTAACAGAAAATGCCCCTCCCTGCCAGTATGCTTCAGTTTCTTAGTTGCCCAGGCAGTAGTTCCTGTTCCAGTTCTGGCGGCTTCTATCTCTTAGGAGTGGCTGGTCACTGTGATGCATGGCTGGTCACTATGTTGTACACTGTATAAACCAATCCCCAGCTGACAAGCCATTCTGCCTCTGTATTTCCTGCTTCCATATCCCGTACAAGCCCTAGACCAACAGAGATCAGGGCCTGATATTGTGGGAATGATCCTGATCAGTGCCTGTTGACATAAATAAATCTGCCTCAAAATCCTGGGTGCCATTTAGGTATTTCTGCTTGCCATTGCACTTGAACTCACTATGTAGCGTAGGCTGGCCTTGAATGCTCAGGGATGATTCTCCTGCTTCAGCCTCCCTAGTGCTGGGATGAAAAGCATGTGCCACTATGCTCAGCTCTTGTGATGTTAAGAGAAATTATTCTAAACTTTGAAATATAGCAAGGTGAGACTGCACAGCCTTTCCAAATCATAGTGAACTGGGTGTGGTAGAGCATGCCTAGAATCCCAGCATTCAGCAGGCTGAGTCAGGAGGATGGCCTCGAGCTGGAGGCTAGCCTGAGCTACTAGAGAGACCCTGTCTCAAAAAACAAAATTAGCAACAAAAAACTCCAACAAAATCCAAAAACAAACAACACCCCCAAACCAAAGAAAAAATAAACCTCAAAATAAAAATAAAAACAAAAGAACCCCACACCAAAAAAAAAAATATCAAAGTCACAGTGAGACATCACATTACAGGCTTACCCAGCGATTTGTGAATCCTTTAGGCTAGCAATTCGCAGTGTAGTATGTACACATTGGGGAGGGAGTGTCTCCAAGGTAAAAATAACAACACTGTGATGTTGTTTGCCTTTTAATTATGTTGACATTTGTAGTAATAGTGCAAAAGCAATGGTGGGTAATACTGCAATGTCTTTGCAGGAATCAAGGTTGTGGCACTAGTCACAAAAATCAGCAGAGATGAAGTGGCTTTACAGAGTGCATTCGTTCACAGCTCCAGAGGCTAGAAGTCCAGCGTCAGAGGGTTTCCGTGGTTGGTATCTGGTGTGTAGCAATCTCACTGTGTCCACATACTGCCTTTCTTCTTTGTGTGCAGGCAGTGAGGTCTCCAGGGTCTCTTCCTCCTCCCCACTCTGGCACTCCTCCTCTGGGACCACAGACTCATGATTCTGCTACCTCCCTTCATTCATGCTGGGATTACAGGTGTGTGACCTCATGCTCAGCTCCTCTTCTTATAAGAATACTATTTCTTCAGGGGTAAGGCTCTACTCCTTTTTTTTTTGGTTTTTCTCCGGTACTGGGAACCGAACTCACGACCTTGCGCTTGCCAGGCAGGCGCTTTGCCGCTGAGCTAAATCCCCAGCCCCTAAGGCTCTACTCTTGTGACCCATTTAACTTTAATTACCTTTTAACATCCCATCCCAAAATACAGCCACCAGAGTGGTTATGACTACAATATATGAATTCTGGGGGTTACATTTGTTTTAGATTAGGCACCAAACTCCACTAGTATGCACTATCGCTTAGCATTCTTCACTGCTTTCCATTTGTAGAATAATCTTGCCAGTTTCATTTTGAAAAGACAAAACACTCTCGTTCTCAATGATCTGTGTGAGACAGAGATGGTCATATTCTTCCATTAAGGAAACATATTGCAATGGAGTCAGTGCAGAAGCAGATGTGAGGATCTTGCTGTTATCTATCAAGCTAGACATTAAAGAGATTTGCAGGCTGGGTATGATGGCACATACCTACAATCCCAGCATTTAGGAGGCTGAGGCAGGAGGATCAAGTCAAATTTGAGGTCAGCCTGGGCTACATGGTGAGTTCAAGGCCAATTTAAACTACATAGTGAGACCTCCTCTCAAAAAACCAAAAACAAAACAAAAAAGATTTGCAAAAACGTAAAACTGTGCTACTGTTTTTGTTTGAAAGATCATTTTAAATAAAAGTATGTGACATATGTTTAAAAAGTATATTTTAAAATTTTCTAAGTTTTAGTTCCCAAAATACTGTATTTAAATAGTATTTATAGTGAATACTGTACTAAGTTAAGTTTATACAATATTTAATTTTAAATACTGATAAGTAGAAGCAAATAAAAGTTCTAAGGAGTCCTCATCAGATTAGAGCACAAATATGTCCTAAAACAAAAAAGTTTCACAACCACTCATGTAGGGCAATTTACCTCAGTTTGATTTCTTTTAAAATTCATTAGAACCTATACACTATGGAGATATATGGTAACGTTCAGATTTTCATTCAATACATATACAAAACTTTTTTATCCACTAGAAAGGATAACCTATAGTTGTATCATCTTGTGGAACATCAACCTGCTTAGTATCCAACCTAACAATCATACTCTAATGTTTTCTTAAAATGTCTATAAATATCTAGTTTCTCAAAAAATTCTTTTGGAATCAGGGTTAGTCTATCTCTGGTAAACTTTTACAAGACTATATTTTGACAGACACTATGGATACACGAGGTGTATCACATGACCTTGCCCTCACCAAGACTCTTCCGCCCGCTTCAAACATGGCTGCCAGGTGACCTCCGCACAGCCACAACAGTACCGGCCTACTTGCGCGTAGGCGCCGCTACGGCCCCACGTTGGGATCTTTTTAGGTAGGGTTGCTGAGGGGAAGGCCCCGTGGGGCAGCGAGGTCTCCGGGAAGTCGCCCGGGGCAGCGAAGTTGAACAGGCGCGGACCGGAAGTTCCACGGCCTCGATGTCTGGGGGGGATCCGTTAGGCGCAGACGCCGGAAGTGGCGAGTCGGCGGGTGTGAGACGGCGTCCGCGGTGTGAGCGTCCCCTCAGCGGCGGCGACATGGAGCCTGGAGCTGCGGAGCTGTACGACCAGGCCCTCCTGGGCATCTTGCAGCATGTGGGCAACGTCCAGGACTTCCTGCGTGTGCTCTTCGGGTTCCTCTACCGAAAGACCGACTTCTACCGCCTGCTGCGCCACCCAACGGACCGCATGGGCTTCCCGCCCGGCGCCGCGCAGGCCCTGGTGCTGCAGGTGAGGCGGGGGGCGGAGGGGGTCCCGGCCCCGGCCCCGCCCCGG